AATAAACAAAAGTGAGTAATATTAATTTTCCTTTTGCCTTTATTCATGCTGTCCTTTTACAGATATACTCTATCTGATCCTTTTACACACACCTGCACACACACACACACACACACACACACACACACACACACACATATATATATATAAACCGAATAACAGATATGAACCGATAGATAGATAGATAGATAGAGAGAGAGAGATAGAGAGAGAGAGAGAGAGAGTGAGAGAGAGAGAGGGAGAGAGATTGCAATCTGCATTTGACATTTTGTTATCATTGGCTCGTCAAGGCCTACAAACCATTTACTGAGAGAACGAAAAAATGGACAGAGTAAAACGTGTACGGAGAGAGGAACTGCGGTGAGAGAGAGAGAGAGAGAGAGAGATTGAGAAAGAGAGAGAGTGATGCTGGCTGCAAACCAGATCGCCTAGATGTTTGAAATTTTCGTCTGCCAACTCCGATCAATAATGGTTGGCCGGGAAAAGATCGAGCGCAGACACAGATTTGGACAGCTTATATATTTTAAATCTCCACCAAGTCGAGCTAAGCTGGTTTAGTCCAGCGCAAGCCTCCTAAATTGACTGTTTTTCATTAATTCATCCTTCCTTGCAGAACGGGAGACACCAAAAATCAGTTCGCTTAATCCTCGACCATCCTTCTTATGAATGATCGCAACACGGACACACAAACACACACCCCCTCTCTCTCTCCATATATATATATATATATATATATATGTAGATATTCTTTTGTAACAAGTATTTATATACAGGAGCAAAAATATTGATTGTTTCAAATTAAGTTGGAAAGCCCGCGTATATATTCATCAGTTTGGTCGAAAATCAGGCATGCTATGGAATACGTTAATTGACACAATTCAATATGTAATAAACCAAAATGAGTAACATTAATTTTCTTTGTCTTCATTCCTTTGCCCTTTTATAGATATAATGTATCTGATTTTTCACACACACACACACACACACACACACACACACACACACACACACACACATATATATATATATATATATATATATATATATAGAGAGAGAGAGATAACGAAAAATGAAATATATAGAGAGAAGGAGATTGATAACGACAAGAGAGAGAGAGAGAGACGAATAGGAAGTAGAAGATGTAATAGATAGATAGATAGATAGATAGATGTGCTCACAATGACAGACAGATCGATATGAAAAGATGTGATAAGAATGACAGATAGATACGAAATATATATATATATATATATATATATATATATATATATATATATATATATATATTCAATCATTTCAACCATAGCAAGGCGATAATGTCACTAAGACGCAGGTGGATACTATGAGTTAACGAGAATGAGTAGACAGAGAAGGCGTGTGAACCGGGCGAGAGGCGAACCTATCCAAACCTATTATTATTATTAGACTTAGACGCGCAAATATATATATATATATACCAGGTGTGACAGCAAAATCGTTCAAATCGTGTACCAGTAGAATTGTCCAATTGTTATATTAAAATTTTTAACTGCTGTATCTTAGAAATTATTAAAGATATCTTACTGGAATTCTCCGAGTTTTTTTATAACACTATTTGATTCTACTTTCATCAATAAGAATGTATAATTACTCTCCAAGCATAGGAGAAGAATCCTGATGCAATCGATCATAAACTAAAATGGCATGTTCATCATTTATTAATCATAGCTAAAGATCGGTAGATCATGAAGGAAAGTTTGCTCAAATATATATATATATATATATATATATATATATATATATATATATATATATATGTGTGTGTGTGTGTGTGTGTGTGTGTGTGTGTGTGTGTGTATTATTCCAGGATCATTTATTCATTTATTCATGATGATCTTCGCCTCTCTAATCTTTTAACTTTCTGTCCTGGAGTAACGAGGTGTCTCATAGGTTTCACATATGATTTCATTTTCAAGTCTTTTTTTTTTTTTTACTGCTCTTTGGACTTTCATAGCTGAAACTCCTCTCTCACGTGCCAAACATCTTATGGATTGAGTTGGATCTTTTCTATTTGAGCTCTTTAGTTGAAATGGTGATCCCTCTTTCTGTTGTGAGCTCCTGGTCCAATTTTCCTCTCTACCGCTCCCTCTGTTTTAAACTTATTCACCGTTCACTCGATGGTTGTTGAATGGCCTGTGAAGTTGGAAGTCAGAGTATGAATTTTGGTAGCATTACTGAAGGCATGAATGATCTTTTTCCTCTCACCATTGCTCAGTTGGGAAGACAGTGGGGCTGATACAAAAAAATTTAACCTGTTCTCTTTCTAGCTGAATAACACAAAAGCTTTTCTAGTGAGTCAAATAGTGTCAAGAATTATATTTATTGAAGTGGTATAATGAGACATAATTGCCTAGTCCTGGGTATGACGGTGAACTAGATCCGGCAGCAAGGCTTCTAATCGAGAGATTGGAGGTTTTGTGGAGCGTGGACTGACACCAAAACAAGTTAAAATGTCCATATAAACATATATACAAAAGGTCATCGCTTTACCCTAACACATAACAAAAGATCAAAATGCCATCTGCTTGCTTCTACACACGAATGAAACTCTTCTCTCACGTGCCAGCCAAACATCTTATCTTGCTCTAAATATTGTGTGTGTGTGTGTGTATTGCTGTTGTTTCCAGATCCACCCTAACCCGGAATTGGTAGCGCCTGACAAGGTCTCAGCTACTGGCAAATATTGAGACCCCCAAACAAAACACTATGAAAGTATAAAGTACGTTTTTATATTTATAAATTACAGACTGCATATACCGATCCACTACAATCTTTACTTCTTCAAGACAAGATTCAATCCTCGTTTATCCAGCATATCAATCACACCCGACAGCAACCCAGAAATAATGGGGAGCGTAGAACCACCCCAGAATTGTTGCCGTCACCAGGTTCATCCAGAGATGGGTTAATAGCGCCAGTTAGTGTCCCAGCTACGGGCAAATATTAAAACCCTAACCAAAAAACACAACACTATGAAAGTGTAAAAATACATTTTTATATTTAAAGAATCCAAACACTATATATTTCTCGTAAAATTACTAACAATATCTATTTTTAGTAAACTTACAAAAATGCCCTAATTATAGTATATATTTAGTTAAAGCTTATTCAAATTATTTAGATTTTGGCATGAAATAACGCATAGAAGTGATATGCTGTTAAACAAAATCGACCAACCAAAAATCGATGAGACCTAATTAGTAATCTAGTAATACGTATAAACACAAGAAAGTAACATAACGCAAGTCAATGATCTGACGGGAGCATTCGTGTCTAGATGCAAGCAGATGTCATTTTGATCTTTTGTTATGTATTAGGGTAAAGCGATGACCTTTTGTATATATGTTTATATGGATATTTTAACTTGTTTTGGTGTCAAGAAACCGCTACTAAAGATTATAAAATTATTTTTGCATTGCATCTTGGATTGTACGTCTAACGCCTACCTTCCCAGACTGCTAACCCCTTGGTTATTTTGTGAGGGACACAGGTGTGCGAGAGAACAACTAAACTCCTTGTAACACCAAAGATGAAATGAAAGCAATTAATATTGCAGCATTCACCAACTTATACAAGGAGACCGTCCAGAAGAGTTGCAGTCTATAAATACTTTCAGGGTAACTGCTACGATGAGCTAATTTCGCTGGTTCCCAAACTGCATGAATGTAAACGTGCTACTAGTTTGGCATCTCAGACCCAACTTCTCACTGTGGAAACGGTTAAATGTAGCCGTCGCTTCAACTCCAATAGCTTCATGTCTCACACTATCTGTCTGTGGAACTCCCTTCCTCTTACTTGCTTCCCTGATAGCTATAATCTCTAAATATCCAAACGTAATGTCAATCGACATCTCCAGATGCCTTGACCTATTCCCCGTCCTTCATTTCCTCCTTTCCACTTTCCCGCCTCTTTACACTTGCTCCCACTCTCTGTAACCCCTTGCGTGCTAGTAGTATTCTCACACTGCTTGGGGGGGGGAGCTTAAAAAAAAATCCGATATTGCCTGGAGGCTGGGCCTGTAATTTTATTGAATAAATTTATTCTTTTTGTATTTCAAGATATTTTTGCGTAATTTTGGTAAATATATATGTTAAAATGAGATGTACGTCCTATTTTCATTTTTACGTAATTTAGACGACAATTTATTCATCGCACTATATATATATATATATATATATATATATATATATATATATATATATATAATCGACTCTCCCGTCGAGATTCGACGTATGAGGGTCAAGCAGATCAGTTTCCAGGAAACCGACAGCCCGACAAGGCACATGAGATTTGATTATAGTGGTGAAGGCCTCGTGCAGGACCATCCACACTTTTTTGAAGGGACGAATACAGAGACCTGGTGCACTGAATGCCACAAGGTTCCCAAACGACCCTGCTAAGGTTTTTAATTCAGAGTTGTCCTTCTCCTAGACCAGTTGCCATCCAAGGCTATAGAACAAAGTCTGTCCTATATATATATATATATATATATATATATATATATATATATATATATATATATATACATAGATATTGTTAGTATAGAGTTTTCAGTATGATCGAGCGTTTACAGATAGTGGGCATCTGTCCACGCTGGAAATGAACCATGTTTTCAAAATGTGGCAACCTGATGATGCAAGGTCCGGACCATGTTGGCGGGTTGGGGCAGCACTTCCTGTCCTTCAAGTTTGCCGCGAGTGTGCTTGGCGAAATATCTTACTGTACGTCTAATGCCAAATAGCGGGCCTTCAAAGCATCATATACTCGCTGCATTTGTTGTGCATAAAGGTCAGCGTTCAGAGTATGACCCACTGGGACAAGCTCAAAGTGGAACATCCTCTCGATGTTCCACCAGACACACAGCATTACATTCTCTTTAAAACGTCGTTGTTTGACAATCAATTCTGAAGGATGGCCGGAACTAAGCTACTGAATTTACTTATTAGGATTACGAAAATAGATACATTTTTCTGTCCCAGTTACAATTTAACGTCAAAATCGGTCAGCGGACGGTCAAATCACGGCTTACGGTCAAATCACGCTGAAACACCGGTTCTCGTACGATCACCGAAGTTAAGCATCGTAGAGCCAGGTCAGTACTTAGATGGAGGACCGCTTGGGAACACCTGGTACTGTAAGCCCCCAAAGTCCAACCCTTACCTCACAGTCGGATGTGGGGGTGTAAATGGTAGTGTCAGAGGTATGCCGCCCGGAACTTCGTTCCTGGTAGGGCCACCCAAGGCGGACAGGTCTGACACACACGCCGGCTAACAAGGGCTCTGGTGAAAATCCAAGGAGCGTCTGCATCGGTAACCGGCGGCTTCTGGTCGTTCCTGTCTCTGCGTCTGTGGGAACCCCGCGGCAAGCAAGAACGTTATCCGAGTAGGCCTGGGTACCCTACTTCTGTAATTTATCCCAAGAATCTTCTTCTCATAACAGGAAGAAGCCGGCTCAATCCGCCCAGGGTGAATGCCGCATCAGTACAGTACAGTAGTACAGCGGACGTTACCAACTGTTTCCACGTAGTTGAGCCTGGTCATTGGATATTTACGACAGCAAGGCCGAGCTTATGAAGGTGTCGATTGTCGGTGCTCTGTGAAAAAAAAAATCGCCGTGTTTGGCTTAGGGTCTGGTGTCACCTTCCTTGAAACATCTGAAATAGTTTTGTGTCACCTGGAAGTTGACACTCACTCAGCCTTCAACATCAACAATTACTTTTGTCGCTCTCTTTGCAGTTTGTCCAATTTTTCCACATGACAGAAATTGCAACATTTACCACCACACATTATCACAGCTGTAAAGTAAAGAATAAAGAATAAATTTCTATATGTTATATATGCAAATTAAGAATTCAGGAAACGATTGGACAAAATAACGATACAGCATGACGATACAAGTTTACAAAAATCATCAGAGTAAATTAAAAAGAAAGAGTCTTGCCTAAACATATATATATATATATATATATATATATATATATATATATATATATATATATATATATATAGAAGAGGTTATAGTAGTTCCAACGAGAGAAAAGTATGTATATTAAAAAGAAGAGAGAAACCGCAAACGTTTTGCTTTTTTATTAAAATATATTAAGCTTTATTTTCCATAATTTTGCTACACGGGTTTCCGATCTCGCGACCTTCATCAGGCAAACAGTGGATATTTCTACATGTTATTAAAAGGGATTCGATATTAATATTCTCGATAATAGACATTCTCTTTTTTGGGTGTTATTGACTCAAATGTCTTCCTTGAACTGGTAGTTGAAATGTTCTAGTGTGTGGGGGGTGGTATGGAAAATATTTTCAGATAGAATTATAGACAAGAGAAAAAGTATTCTTAGTCGATTCGTATCTTCCTCTGAGGGACTTTATCAAAGCAATGTAGGATTTAATTTGTTGCACATGTTTATATACAAAAGCGAAGATCTCATTTGCTTATCAAGGTTTTTAAGTTCGAGAAAAGTTCATGAATATGAAAAGTCGTTGAAAGGTTACTCAAAAGATGTAGAGGACACAAAGTGTTATGATTCAAAGTCTGGTGAAAAATAATAGAGTGACACACACACACACACACACACACACACACACACACACACACACACACATATATATATATATATATATATATATAATATTCTGAAAAATTTAAAATGCAATGTAAATCGCTTTCTGGTGTCCTATTGATTACTCTTTACACTTCATGCTCATTATTAAAGTTTATATTCTAATTCTTCCACACCCTGTAACCTGATGTATATATATATATATATATATATATATATATATATATATATATATATATATATATATATTGTAACCTAGGAAAGGTTACGGAATAGAATAATCAAAAGAAGGTTGGTAATGAACGATAATATTTAGTACAAGAACAACATATACAAGATTCGTCAGCGGCGCGTAGAAGAAGTAGTCAACTGCTAGAAGTGAGTCAAGTGAATTCCACAATGAATCTCCAAATGCAGGATATCTATCCTCGTCTGGGGATCCTCTCTAACCAGAGGCAGAGAGTTTGACAAGCACACCTGGAAACAAATCTCCAACTGCAGGATATCTACCAACCGCACCACGCAGATGTAACACTAGACCGAATTTAATGTGGGGCATTCGAGCCCGTTATGTCCGGTTAAAAATTCACCGTCGACCCCGTAAAAAAACGGTAGCTGTTTCTCGAGACGCAACTCTGCCCTTCGACATAGCCTTGTCTGGAGAGACAGAGAGTTTTACCAGCACATCTCGAGACAAATCTCCAACTGTAGAGCAACATGCAGTATTTACTACTGTAGTTATGTGAATGGGGACATAACCATTATCGTCTGTAGGATGCTAAAACAATATATATATTATAGAAATTATTAGGAGGATTTGACAATTTGTTCATTGGAACAGAACGCAGGAAGCACTGGACCGCCGTTTCATTCCTATATTTAGACTCACTCAGATTAGTGCGCATCCACTACCGAGAATTGAAACCCGGACATTTAGGTTGTCAAGCAAACATCATACCAACTGTTCCAACGGGCCTCGGTGACGAAGAGATTGCAAATCAGACTTAATATAGCGCCGCTCGCTCACATATTCCGTGGTGGAACTCAACTGAGATTCTCTCTAACCATAGGACTGTGCCCCCAGGAGCCACGACTACTATCAGCAAGCCTCTCAAACTTGAGCATTAGAAGCCGGTTCAAGCAATGATATACAAATCATAGAAATTATTAGGAGGATTTGATAATTATAATTAAGTAATTCATCGAGTCTGAAAGAAAGTTCGTGTGCACTTTAAGAAATTTCTAACCTTATTTGTATTTGCGATAGAAATAATTTGTAAAAGGATTAGAAATAAATAAATATATATATTTTTAAGGTTTTATGGAAATTTTATTTAATTTTCGACATGTCCTCCATCATTAGCAATACAAAGGGTAATACGATTTTGCGGTTCACGGAAAATATTTGCCAACTGATTTACAGTAATGCCTGAAATCACATTAGTTATTTTAGCTTTCAAATCTTCTAATGAACTAGGTTTGGTTGCATACACAATTGTTTCCACATGTCCACATAAAAAATCTAATGGAGTCAAATCTGACGAACGTGGAGGCCAATAAAATGGTCCACCCCTTCCGATCCATCTGTTAGGAAATTCCTGATTTAGAAAGTCTCTAACATGCAGAGCAAAGTGACAAGGAGCTCCATCTTGTTGAAACACTTTCAAGTTCAAGCTGCGGAATAAAGTAATTCTGCAGCATATCTAAATAGCTGTCATTGTTAATAAAACGATATCGAAAAAAATATGGTTCTATGATCTGTTTTTTTCCTAAGCACACCACACTTTAACTTTAAGAGAGTTCCTTTCATGTTCAGCAGTTTCATTTGAGTTTTCAGTTCCTCATATTCAGCAATTATGCCTGTTGACCTTGCCACTTATGTGAAATGTTGCTTCATCAGAGAACAGTAAACTACTCACAAATGCATCATCATTGCCAAATTTTTCATTGAACTGATGACAGAAAGTTAGCCGTGTATAATAATCCTCTTCTAACAACTGTTGATGTAATTGAATTTTGGACGCTTTCATGTGAAGTTTAGCCCGCAGAATCTTCTGCACACTAGACTTTGGGAGACTGAGCTCTAACGATGCAAGTTTTACAGACTTTCTTGTACTTGCTGTAAAGGATTTTTTTATGTATGCAACACTTTTGTCGCTGATAGATGGCCTTCCAGGCCGTGGCTTATCATAGCTGTAGCCTGTGTCTTTAAATTTTTCCATCCATTTAGCAATAGTGTTCCTATGAGGAGGTTCTTTATTGCATTCAATTCTAAACTTTCTTTGTATAGCAAAAGTAGATTTCAGTGCAGCCAACCAAAGGACACAGCTTACTTTTTCTCTCATTGAAGCCATGGATCAAATTGATTCTGGAAAAAAGAAAATATTTTTTACTTATCTAAAAATTTTTGCAATTCAATAATTATAGTTAAAACTAGGTACATTAAACTTTATAACATTTTAACAGATTATTTCTATCGAAAATACAAATAAAGTTATAATTTTTTAAGTGCACACGAAGTTTATGGATACGTATATGTTATGAGGCATATTGATATGTATATTTATGGTGTACATGTATAAATTTATGCATAAAAATATATTGTGCAATTGGGCAGCAATCCCTCTTTTATACAAGTTTCGTTAAAAACGGCTGACATATTCCACATTATTTATGTCCGATAAAGAAATGAATAAGAACAAAAAAATTAAATAAATTAACACAGCCGCTTTGTACCTTGTCAGACGTTTTAATGAAACATATATATATATATATATATATATATATATATATATATATATATATATATATATATATATATAATCATTTATTCCAAAATTATAATAAAAAAATTTTGTTTCATCACTTCTGGTGTCTTACCAAGTGATGGTGTTGAATGTAGAATCTATACAATATATATATATATATATATATATATATATATATATATATATATATATATATATATATATTAGTGCATATTTCATTAAATAATATAGAAAGTTTTGTCTATTTACTTTAAATGAATTCCTTTCATATTGTCGAATAAGCTTTTTAGCATTATCACTGAAGCTCGAAAAAAAACCATTAAGTTGATACATGTTTTTATAGTTAATCTTCGACAATATGAACGGAATTTACTTAAAATAAATAGACAAAATTTGTCTATATTATTTAATGAAACATGCATTAATGAAAAATGCTTCCTAAATACACACACACACACATGATATATATATATATATATATATATATATATATATATATATATATAATTGACTCTCCTGTCGAGATTCGACGTATGAGGGTCAAGCAGATCAGTTTCAGGAAACCGACAGCCCGACACCGGCACATGAGATTTGATTATAGTCGTGAAGGTTTCGTGCAGGACCATCCACACTTTTGAAGGACGAATACAGAGACCTGGTGCACTACGTGTCACAAGGTTCCCAAACGACCCTCCACAGATTTTGAATTCAGAGTTGTCCTTCTCCTAGACCAGTTGCCATCCAAGTCTATAGAACCCAAGTCTATAGAACCCTCTCTCTCTCTCTCTCTCTCTATATATATATATATATATATATATATATATATAAAAGTTAACATAGAAGTCAACACTTAGAGGCGACAGTCTGTTTTCATGCTATATATATATATATATATATATATAGGTAAATTTATAATGTTAGATGTGTTCGTGCGTGTGTGTAAATTCCTAGAAGAATTATTTTCCTTCAATCTTCCTGCAATTTGAAAGAGACGTCGTAATCATTGCACTGGTGCATATATTTCTATAATTACAGGCATGGGGTTAGCATCTTTTTATTGCCTTTTCTTATCTCTGCAGCGTGTGATCGTGACGCATGAAAACAAAAAATAGATTTCTTTTACTAAGTTTGCTTCGTTAATGTTCTCTGCCGCGTTATGAAGTGCAATAAATATGAATTTTTACTGCCGTTACTCTAGACTCCCTGGCTTTTTGATTGTCACGTCCCACGTTGACTGGCGAAGGCGAGAAAGCGAAAATAAAGAAAATGAAAGACTTTTGCAATATAAAACTTCGTGGAAAAAAAAATGGAAATTATTTGAAAACGTCGAAAAATGAAACTAAACGTACCCCACATTAAAAAAAAAAAATTTAAAAATAAATATCTTTATTTTCATATCCAAATCCTCAGTGGGTATTATTTACATGAGCATGATTTTTCTACGGACGTATTTTATGGGAATTCTCAAGCAAAACAAGTACATTGGAATTTCTCCACAGATATTCGAGGGGCTGTTAAATGTTTCTCAGAATCTTCAAAATGAAAATATAAAAATCATTATGGTGGATAATTTCGATATATATATATATATATATATATATATATATATATATATATATATATATATATATATATATATATATATAATTTATTCGAAAATTATAACATAAATATGTTATAAAAGTACTACAAAATCGCCATTTTGTTTTAACACTTATATGAAACTTATATAGTATGTGATGATATGTAAGTGTATTTGAATTCGTTTACTAACACTTTTAAATTTGAATATTTCTTGTGTATATCTGTGTATCTTTATCCACGTATGTGTGTATAATCGCTTATATGTGCTTTTCATTGTATGGAGACGTGACCGGGTTTTTTTTAAGTATCGGAGACACGTATTTCCTGTTTCGTTCTTTTATTGCGTGTTTATATATCTAAGTATGTCTACATGTTTGTGTATTATAATCTGATTGTGTATGTATTGTCTTTTTCAAGATTGTAACGAAGCTCAGAGCAACTCTTAATGTTTATTCTTACTGAATTTTTGGCTTTTCAACAAAAGCAAAATAAATAACAAAACATGTATTTTTTCCTGTTTCTCCTTTTTATAATTTTTTAAACTTAATACAGATTTAATTTAAATAATGGTAATTTTGAATTTCATAATCAAATTTAATATTAATTAGTTAGAATGAATTCTATTTTAATTTAACCGTAACATTAAGGTATTAATAATTATAATCAAGGTTCGTTGTCAAGTTTTTTGACTTCTCATCTACTTGTATTTTGATTGGTCATTGCAGCTTATGTAACAGCGTTTCCTCTATCGAGGGGTGTTTGATTGATTTGAACTTTTTAAAACCCTATATTCTACATTCTAAACCATCACTTTATAACACACCAGAGCTGTTGAAAAAAATGACTAATTTTTTAGCGATTTTAAAATATATTTATTTTATAGTTTTCGGCTAAATTATATATTCTCTACTCTGCATTGAGCACTCTTTTAAGAATAGAATTTTTTGGTTATTGGAATTCATTCCGTATACACTAATACTATACCTGTATATATATATATATATATATATATATATATATATATATATATATATATATATACAGAATAACAGATAGACGGTGTGTACATAAATATCAGCGTTCAATGGGATTTTTCATTGTAATAAATCTCCGTGCAGAGTTGATTATATATATATATATATATATATATATATATATATATATATATATTCAATTTCGGCATATATATATATATATATATATATATATATATATATATATAAATTCCAGTCAAATCAATTACATTCACTTACATGCAATTACCCTTGGGTAACGTATGAATCCTCTTCTTCTTCCTCCACCTATGGGTTCTATTGCAGGACAGACTGGGTCCTATAGCCTTTGATGGAAACTGGTCTAGGAGAATGAAACCTGTTAATTGAAAACCTGCGGAAGGTTTTATGACGACCTTGTGTCACGTAGTGCGCCGGGTCTCTCTATTCGACCATTCAAAAAGTGAAGTTGGTTCTGCACAAAACCTTCACCACTATAATGAAATCACATGTGCTGGTGTCTGGCTGTCGGTTCCTAGGAAC